GAGAATCTCAAAAAATAAAAATAAAAATAATAAACTTAGAAAGAATTGCTATAAAAGTAAGAATGCTTTTGATAAAATCAAGCAATGTTAAGCTAAAAACTTTAAAGAGACACAAAATCTCTCTAATAAAAAAAAATCCTAAGTAAGAATGCTACAATCAAAATGGATAAAGAAAAAGGATAAAGAAATATGGAAAAATCTTCAAAACAATGATAAAATTAATATGAATTGCGACAAAAGTAAGATACTCTTAATAAGATCAATTTATGAGTTCAACTAAGAACTCTAAAAACACATTTAAAGGAAAATATTAATTAGAAGACACAATAGAGTCATGTTTAATTCAATCTAATATAAACCTAATTATTTTAAGTCATCTATCATGAAAAATTTAATGAAATCGCGTTCAATTTATTTTAATATGAGTCTACTTAAGCCAATTAAAATAACTTTTAAAACCCCTTATAAATTGCTAATATAATTTGAATATTGGAAACAATAAATGGAATTATCAAATAAAACTATAATTTAATTAAAAAAGTCATCAGTTTAATCAACCTAAATTCTAAATCAACCTGACATATACTTTGTTTGGATGTTAAGAATTAAGAGAAAAAAAATGGAGAGAATTTAAATTGGAACCACCTTAAAATCTAAAGAAATGATCAGTACATAGGGAGAGAGAGGAGGATTGATGGGACTTTATGTATTTTTTTTTATAAATATTAAAATAATATTAAAATTATAAAAATAAAAATAATTTTTATAAAAAATATTATAATAAAAATTACTATTTTATTAATTTATATTTTTTATAAATATTTTTAATACAACTCATTTTTTTACACTTTTTTTTATTCATTCAATCAAATAAAAATAATTTTATTATTATTATTTTATTTTAATTCATCTAAATATCTAATATTTTTTAATTATATTTTCACTTTATTTTTTACTCTCTTATTTTTTTTCTTTTCTATTTCTTTCGTCCTTATTTTATCTCCCATCAAAACAAAGCATTAATCAAATTTGCCACTAATTGAGTTAAGGCTTCATTGAGTCTCTTTTTTCTATCTCTTGTCTCCACCAAGTCTGCATAGCATTTTTCTCTTCAAATTCTGTCTTCTTGATTATGATTATTATTTTTGCAACCAATTGAATAAGAATGTGTGGGAATTAGACGAAATCTCAAGTTCTCAGAGAAAAACCAAAATAAAATAGATTTGCTTTTTTCCTCGTTCGTTTTAAGTTTTTACTTTATTCATCTTATTACTTATTAATTTCACTAAAAATTAAGTTTTTGAAGTATTACCATCCGAAAAACACAATATCTAGATCCCACAAGCAAAACTACTTTTATTAAAAACATCATATAACTTTGATATATAAATTCAGCAATCAATCCTTAACATTATTGAATATTATTATATGGTGATCATATATTTTATGTTTACAAAATTAATTTTAGAAAGTTTAACTTTTTAAAATCTTTGTAGCTCTTTTTTATTAAGATGTTTTCCAAATGATTTCAAAACCTTGAATGTTTTTGTTTTTATTTTTATTTTTTTGAAAGTTTATGAAGTTTCAGGCTTTAAAGGTTTAATGAAAGTTTATTAGGATAAGTTGTAAATAATTTATTTTGATAAGTTGTACTAAAAATATATATTTAAAATAAATTAAAAATAACTTATAAAAATTATAAATTATTTTTTATAAGTTATTAATAATTTTTTTATAAAGTTCCTAATAATATATCTTATTTAATGAAATCTTTTGATAATTGAATAAGTGGTGATATAATTTGACTGAGTTTGTTTCTTCTGCTTAATAAATTTAAACTTTGTTTTGTTTCTTTTTCAAGTGATTTCAAGCAAAATATAGTAGCACTAAATTTAAAAACACTAAATTTTATTTCAAAAAGTTTGTCACCATTGAAATATATATATATATATATATAATTTAATAATAAGAAGAAGAATTTATTTATATTTAAATTATATAAAATTTAATAATTTAATTTATTTTAAATAATTTGTTTTTATTTACACAATTTTTTTATTAAAACGTAAATTGATTTACGTGTTTAGTGATTTATTTTATATATATAAATTTAAATCAAACAAATGGATTGATAAATGTCATATTTAAGTAAAATCTATACTACTTTTATCTTCCATGAAATTACATTCACGCTGTGATTTTACTAAATCATTTGTTGTTTACATAGCTCACTTATTGCCATTTGGCTATCTTTGGTATGTTGTGTTACAAAACAACATTTAACATATCCTGCCCTTAACTAATCTGCCACGAAACAACACGTGTATTTGTGAAACTCTGTGATCCTCTCATATCATTTTGATGAAAATTACGTTATACAGAACAAAATTAACCTACTAAGCCACGAAGGGCTTCAAATAATTCATGATTACCACTAATTAATGATGGCAAGGAATTGCGTATTAGTGTCATAGTATTGAGAACAAAGTGAATGTAATTGTATTATAAAGTTCTGTGCCAATACGCATTATATATATAAAAAAGATTTTTTCACATTGGTTGTAAATCTAAAATTTTTATATTTATCTGAATGTTTTATTTAATTTACGTTTAACAGTGTATATATATATATATATATATTATTTTTTGTTTTAATAAATTTGTCTATTAATATGGATTATAATATATATTATCAATATATATCAATAATGTTTATATTAATATTTTAATTTTCATTAAAAACGATTGATTCTTCGTGAAACTGTTTGTCAATATATTACATTGTTTTAGTATTGCTTGCATCAAGTACAACTTTGTTAGTATGCCTTTCTTAATCCAAAAATTATGGATAGATTTATTTATTTATTGAGGGAGGGGTGTATATATATATATACTTCTATTAATATATGAAAATGTTAATATAATATTTTTTTTATTTCGTTAATGAAAACTTGTGATGTATATGTTAAATGTATAATTCTTGTTGAATAAAAATTATAATAACAGATAATTTAACATATATGATTTTTTTTGTTAGTAAATAAATTCTTTTTCAGTGGGAACTACATTCTCATGAGAGAACTGAAGCTGAAATCCTAAGAAATTATTAGAAGAACTTCTCAATCTCGATAACGCTTGAAGTTGTAAAGCCTGTCTCACGACAATGCATGTATATATAATTACTGTAGCAAAAAATGTAAATTAAAAAACACAAAGGGGTCAAGTGGGACATATTACCAAGAAATTGCAACTTAAACAAGATCATGATATAAAAAAATCTAAGTTTCTATGTTGTTAGTTTTTAACTGACTTGAACCTTCCAAAAGAAAAGTTATTGGCTCAAAGGGCTATTCAGAATTCATGCTTAATTGTGTTGGGAATTCGATTCAAATTCAGGATATGTCTAAAAATGTTTGAAATTTGTGTGCTCACAAAGTTGAATGCAACGAGTAAAGCCAGAAAAATGGTTTGATATGACTCTAACGTATTCATCAAATCTAAAATTTGAACTATTAAAATTCAGGTCAGTGTAAATTTTTTTAATCTGTTACGAGCATGTGTATTTTAAATATTTCATAAAACTGTTTACTTATTTTTTACAAATTTCCAAACGAACATGTGTATTTTAATTTTTAAAATTATAAAAATAAATATGTTAGTTAAACTTAAGAATCTATTGATTATTAACAATATTAATGCTATTATTTCACAATCAACATACCCATACAATATACGGATCAACAAGGTAGTGTTCATATAAAAAATCAGTCCATTACTGCTGGACCATCTAAATCAATAGAACATTTTTATTATAAACAAACTCATAATCGTCATAAGGTTAATTTTGGGTTGTCATTTTATGAGTTCAAATAGCTTAACATTTTGAACTACTTGACGTATATATAGACTAAACATTTTATGATATCCATTGACAGCTATATAAGGTAACGAGATCCTGATAAAAATTTGGTTTGCCATTTAAATGGTTGTGCACCAGCAATCCATCGTTTGGAAACAATGAGTAGTATCTTCCATAAAAACTGTAGGTGTTATTACCATAAAATTAGAAGTTACTTACACGGATCTTAAAAACAATAATTGGCTTCAGTGATGCTAACATCATAGAATTAACGAGTGTTTTCGAGATGGTTTGAATGCAAGTTGGTCACGTAACTGGTCATGATTGAGCATTACAATCGAATTTATAATTACTAATCTCCATTAGTTTGTATCAAAACATTTAAACCAATGTGTTATTATAATTGGGATCGATTAATCCGTAGAACATGAAAAACACTAATTTCAACACACCTTTTGCGTGATATATTTTTCTCAAATAAGCAAGGTATAAAACCGATGTATAAATTTATTTATGGGTAAATATAATGTTTAGATAAAAAAAATTCCATTATGGTTAATTAACTATGTGCAAAATTTTGTTTATTTTAATTAGTTTATGGATTGGTAATTATTAGACAATAGCCCATTAAACAATTAAAACATCTAACAATATACATACACAGTAAAAAAGAAAAAAAAAAATACATTGTTAATGAGTATAAAACTGGCGTGAGCAAATGATGTAAAAGAATCATTTTCATATAAAAACGACAATACCCAGTTTCATTTTTCTGGCAATTGTTGAGATAGATTCCAAATACAAAACACTTGTAGGACAATGCACGTGTAAATAAGAGAGAGAAAGAGTGTGTATACAAGACTTTGAATAGACTCCCTTAAGAAGAGGGGGAAGGAATAATTTGTAAGAAACATTCTCTTCAGAATTTAATTGGCCAACACATATAACTTGCTGTTGACCAAACTATATGCACCTCATGCCCCAGTTTTCTGAATCACCCTCTTTTTGCATTCACATGGTCTAGAATTTGTGCTACACCACCATCACCACTAGATCGAGCTAGTTAACTAGAAGAAAAGACCAAGAAAATCCAAAAGAAGGTGATTTCAAAACCATTTTCAAATCATCAATAAAGGGGGTTATGGAAGGGGAGAGAGATGTTAATCCCAATTATGAGCTCCAAGTTTCATTCACAAACCCCCCTCAAGCCATCCATGAAATGGGTTTTGTTCAATTTGAAGAAAACCAAGTTCTTAGCTTCTTGGCACCCTCTGCACAATCCCAATCTTCTCATCACTGTCAACCTCTAAACATTGGCAACAACAATACTGTTGCTACCACGATTGCTGCTGCCACCACTACCTCGGCTGCAACTATTGGTTTCAGCCATAACGACCTTGTCACCAGAACTTCTTGGAATAATGAACAGGTGATTTACTTTGATATACATAGGGTATCTATGTAAAACAATTGATTAAATTAATTAAAAGTTATGGACTATGATCTTCAACCTTATAATTAATTATTAGTTTTTTTGTTTTTTGTTTTTTTTTTTTGTTATTATGTCCCTTTCAATTAATTTAGGGTATTGTTTTCATCTCTTCTTTAAAAAACGATTTTGGTTATATATATGGATGGTACCATGAACTTTCAGGTGCGAACTCTGGATCCCAAAACTGTCAATGATGAAAATTGCACTGGAAATACTAGTGATGGTAACAACACATGGTATATCCTTGCAACTACAACTTTCCAATTTCAATCTTTCTATCTCTGCATGCACGTAAATATTTAATTTAGATACCCAAGAAGATATTCTTTAGGTTTCTGCGAAGAATCTGAAGGTCTCTAACCTTATATATGGAAGTGACCGCTTCTTTTTCTTCTGAGTTTGCTTTCGTACTCCAAATTATTATAACCTCTCTCTCTCTCTCTCTCTCTCTCTCCCTCTCGGGTTTTGAGGAGGAGCAAGAGCTACTCAAAAGTCATGATACTAATTGATTCTCGAATCCACCAGTCCATCACAGCCTTCATTTATTCTTCAAATAGATCATCATCTTCTTTTATTTTCCTTTTTTATTTCATATTTATTTTATTTTAATTTTCTCTTTGTATTGCTTAAGGTTAATTAAGCTTGATTTGAACTAATTAATTAAGAAAAGGCTGTTTAATCAAGACTTTGAGGTGTAACAAATAATGGAAAGTTATCAATAAACTAAAAATATATGTTGGTAATAAAATTTGTATGATGGTAGGTGGAGGAGTGCAGCATCTGAGAAGAGCAAGGCGAAAGTAAGGAGGAAGCTGAGAGAACCACGGTTTTGTTTCCAAACAAGAAGTGACGTGGATGTGCTTGATGATGGGTATAAATGGAGGAAGTACGGTCAGAAAGTTGTCAAGAATAGCCTTCATCCAAGGTAATTACATAATACTTTGAACTCATTGATTATTTTACTTGCTCAGTTTTTGCAAGAACTTTAATATAATATTTATAAGAGAAAACTTATATTTGATTATCACATGAAGTGTGTTTCTATCCATATAATTATGTCCTATTTTTGGTGTTTGAAAAATCCCTATCAAATGCAAATGGTAAATCTATAATGGTGTACACTGGCTACATCATAGGCATCACACCCGGAGAAACGAAGGTAAAATGTCCTTTTTGGAAAAATACATGTGTCGGTGGTGAAACAACTATATTAATAACGAATATTAATTCATGTACCCAAAAAATTGAATCTTAATTGAAGTATTAAAAAAAAACGAATCTTAATTCACAAGTCTAGCTAATCTTAGATTTTGTTTCAAACAAAATTGAAGATTGAAAACATTCACAATGAGAGAGGGGGAGAGAGAGAGAGAGAGAGAGAGAGAGAGTCTCCAGCTAAAACTAAAAGAATAATTCAAGATGCACTTCGATAGGCTTCTGAGTAGAGAAGATTGATGGTACAGACTGAAACTTCGGCTTTTCTTCAGATAAAAATATATGTTGGGAAATAAAAAGAATATGAATTGGTTAGAATATTTAGTGGAATATTATTAGTGTTTTGACAATAGAGCACAATATAGGGTCCCCTCCTTCGTCCTCTGTTCCCATACCATCCAATGGTCAAGCTATTTATCTGACCAACTTCAGCTTCCACGCATGCATTCTTCTATCACTAAAAAGGCTTCACTTACACCTAAAGTTTTTCATTTTAACTCGTTAACATTTACCTAATTTCTCCAATCCAATTTGTCATGAAAATTTTGTGAAGAAAAAAAAAGTTCAGCACTTTTTTTTTTTTTTCGCATCAAATGTAGCTTCTTTTCATGTTACCCTCATGTTAATGGTGTCTTTCACATTCTTTTTTTTGTTAACCCCTTGTTTGGCCTTAGTTATCGCATTACATTCATCACTACTTATCGGATTTAATTAATTTATAGATTCCGTCCAACACTCTCCGTTGTGCAATATAAATTTCCTTACATATCAAATAATTATATTTCATTTTATCATTTAGTGTTGTACATCGTAAGTAAACGTTTACTTAGGATATAATTAGCAAATCCGAATGTTAATTAAGGCACCAAACCATTTAGCCTACATTATTGACAAAGCAATTCTTGTTATGATGACAAGTTTGTAGTCAACAGACATACATTATTACATTATTTTAAAAATAATAGAGAACTTTTTATGTGATCTAAATATAATGTGTCTGTGACTAACATATAATCCTTGATCAAAGATACAAAAGACTTATCATCAAATTCACCATTTTATGTCTTCAATTACTTTATCCTTCAATAATAAGGATTAGTATTGTAAACTTTTAGATATGTAAAATCCTAATACAGTGGCAAAAATAACGTATACTGTAATAACGCACAAATATTTGAGGAATTTGAATACAAAATACTTGAAAAGCTAGTTAATATATGAAGGGTCAAGTAGAGAATTTACTACTCTTTGAAATAAGACATTGTATCACTGAGTAATGCTTAACATATAATTTTAAGTTTGAGTCTTAATAAATATAATTGTATTCGGAGAGAGTGTTTTACGTACTGTCTATAATGAGTTTATCCCGCTAACATGAGTCACCTACAATAAACAACATTATGATTTAGAGAAAAACAACATTACAAGTGCCTTTTACACTTCTGTGTGTAGAAGCAATGAATAAATTTTTCTGTATATGAGTAGAAGTTGGTCCCAAACAAAATACCAAGAAAAAGAAAACAGACTAGCTAGTGGAGGTGTGAATAAATCAAATGAAAGCATGAAATCCATTTAAAGAGTCTCTGAGTTTGATAGAAGTTTATAAGTTAATAGAATTGTGCATGCATTTTAACTAGGCTTCTGCTTGCAAGAGGTGCATTAATTACTAGTTATTGTAAATTCACCAGAAAATTAATATAAAAGCTTATTGTTAAGTGCTCCCACTTTTTAATTAGACAGTGATAATTTCAACATTGCTTAGTTACCTCCTTGTGAGGATCTTAAGAGTTTGACTGAATCTCCCATTCAGATGGAAGAAACAAGTATATTGGCTTTTGCATCATTTTAAGTTATCGAAACCAAACAAATTTTGAGGCTATCTTGAAAATTACGGAAAATGTTGTAATTAGGGTGCAGCTAATGCTGTCATTTTGTAAAACTTATTAAACTGAGCTGATGCATAAATTTTCTGTGCATTACAATTCGAACTTTGAGTATATGATTATTCGTAGGATATATAAGTGAAAAATTATACATATGGTTTCCGTCGCGTTGAGCTGTTAATATGAGTATATGACCTGTGTAATGATCTTAAATAATAGAACAAAAATGGGTATGCACACGTGTAATTTTTCTGCCAAATTAGGAAATATTTATCGTCTCATAAATAGGTTTTATTTTCTTACCCACGAGAAATAGAATTTTAATAAGAATTCAAATTTTATTTTTCTCATCTTCCCTTTTTGTCTAATAAAATAATGTCAATTTAAAAAGCTCACATACGATCCATTGCTTTGGGAGTAGCATGTCTCTCTTAATTAATTGATTAGAAATACTTTTCATAGTATTGATTTTGCCTAGTTATAAGATACTTCCTTCATTCCCTTCTGTTTGACATTTTAGCTTCTTTTTTAAAAAAAAATTATTTTTATTATAATTTTACAATATCAATCATTAATTAAATATTTTTTTTTTCTAATTTTACACCTAGAAAGTAATCAAAATGTAATTTTAGATAAATTAATTGATATAAGAAATAAGGGGTATAGTAAGTATTGATTAACATTAATTTTTATGAAAATTATATTAGTTATATTCTTTTAATTTTTATATCACAATCTTAAATCTTAAATGACAAACAATAGAAAATGGTGGGAGTAAAATTTCAATGAAAAAGAAAAACATTAAATACAAATAAATATTAAAAGAGGCAAGTGGAGATTTTTTCCTATGAAACATGTAGTGTTAAGTTAAGCTGTCTATCTAGATGAGCTTGTTCTATCATTTTCTACAGTACAAATAGGTGAAACTCTAATTATCTTTCACATTATACGAAATAGAGTTGTATCACTGAGTGCTGATTAAACACAAATTAATTATATCAAATTCTCAAATGCAATGTTGCATGCAAGTATACTATTTAGTTAGGAAGATTATGAATGACTATAATAATAACATTTTCATTGTTTCCGAAATAACAAAAAAGGATTATCCTGTTTATACCTAAAAAAATATGTAAATTTAGAAATAATTTGGTAGTTGATGTAGTATTGGAGTTACATCAACCAATAAAAAATTGAAGAGTTCCATAAAGAATCATGCTAATTATCATAATTATAAGTTATGATTAAACTTATATCTAATAGTAAGTAAATTTGGTTTCTAGATAAACATATGTCGTTAATTATAATTGGTATGCAACAATTTAAAAGTTTAACTTAGTTTTTCTGTATATATAAACCTCTCGCTATTATATGTTAAAATCGAACAAATTATGCTTTCAAATTTTTTAAAGTATAAATTTTATTTTTAACATGATATTTTCAGGACTAAAATTTGTCTAACACGTGTAACTTAATAACCAAATTTTTGGTTTAATAACATATCGTAAACAGAGATCAGTAAACAATCTAATAAAAGTAAACAAACACGGCATATTATTTTGAGCTGAATTTGCAACTGATATTCAACAAAACATTAAAGATAATGGAAGTGAAAAATGACAACAGTCTATCAATTTGAGTAGAACCCATGAATAATCTTCAATTGGTTCCCCGAGAGCTTAAAGTATACTCTTTGAAGAAGAATTTAGGATAGGAGATATGCTAATATAAAACAAATACAATAGTTTGTTGAAAACCAAAGTTACTTAGACTGAAGGAAACTAATAATTTAGGGTAAGAAAAAGGTGGTAGCCAATGGATCATTAGACCCAAAATTAACATAAATCTTGTGCGTGCGTGTTAAATGTTGCTTGCATGGAAGAAAGTTCAATAGTTTTATTTGAGGTATACTTCATGAACCAACGCAAAATGGTTAAAGTGGAATATCCACTATTACAAGCCTTCGAAAGTGCTGGTAAATTTGCTTCGGTTGAAGTTCATCATTACAAATTTGTACTTAAAGGTATGTACTTTGAAGTGGAATTAGGAAGATCAAAAAGTTAATAGAATGATCACTTCATGAACATAGGAACTTGGGAACATTACGGGCCAGGTGTTTGATAGTGTAAAAAATTACTGTGAGACTTGTCTTAAATTCACAAATATCGTTTAACCAACAAGAAGATTTAACAATATATCCAATACCAATCTTGATTAAGCATTTTTCTTTTTGTGTGTATTCATTAATAGTAATTTTAATTAATTACTAATCAAAGAGTAGTCCTTTATAAGGCATAAAGTTTTTGAAATAATGTGTTTTGACTTTCCAACATATGGTTAATATTTTTTTATTGATATTAATAAGAAAGAGTAAATAAAATAAGGCAAACTAGTGTCTTTTTTAAGAAAAAAAATATTGTCTCATTATATTCATAGCTAAGATAAACTTATAAACAAAATTTAAGTATAATATTACAAGTTTTTTCTGTGAGTGTTATTTTTTAATTAGAATTAGAGTTTCACATTGATAATGTGGGTCAATCCTTAATATTAATATATTGATCTTTAATGTGAACTTTTATTATACAGTTTATATAAATGAAACATGTATTTTAATTTAAAAATATCACTAAAAATACTTATAGGACTACGCTTAAATTATGTGTTAAATTTATTTAGATAATATCTTGTAAGTAGCTCATGAATACACATTATGTTATTGATATTGGAATAAATTTAAGAAAAAAATGGAGAGAGTGTTTCAGAAAAATATTGGTTAAAATATAAATAAATTTCAAGTAAAATATTTATTTGATTAAAAAATTTTAAAATTAATTTGAATTAAAAAATATATAAAAGTTTAATAAAATAATATATTATTATATAATTAAAATCTATTAACTCTTATGATAATTATTTCAAAATTTTCATACCTAGAATGATTTCTAAGTGGTTCTCCGTGTGAAATTCTTCACACTCCCATTCAATAAAAAATTCTTATATCAATAAGAATATTTTTTATAATAATTAATTTAAAAGTAATATTTATTATATATTCTAATGACTTAAGTCATTTTAAATAAAAAAAATGTGCAAAGTTAAAATGTAAAAGTGTATTTATCTTTAATTTAAAATTAGTAATGTTTATAAGATATTTAATCTTAAATTAATGATAGATAATTATTTATTTATTTTTTACTTTACACATCTCTTTAATTACTTTAGAAAAGTTAACTCTGTAGTCTAATCAGTGAATAATATATGTACAAAAAATTATAATAACAGTACATAAAAATTAAACTTTTATTTGAAAAATGTTAACATGAGTGTCATTCGAGCACTAATCAGAAAATTAAAATTAAAAATTTTTATTTGAAAATTGTTAACAATGCATCTCACTAGATCACATATTTTTAATAATTTTATTTATTTATAAACAATATCTGTAAAACACTTGTTAGGGAGATTAAAATAGCTAAAAAAAAGGAATCTCATTTACTAACGAAAAGAAATATAAGGCATTGAGATAGTCTCTTGGTATAAGTTTTACTTAATGAAAATTAAATTATTGATATAAATATAATGAATTTATACTAATAAAATAATATTTATTAATATTTGACGTACTATATATATATATATATATATATATATATATTAAGTTTTAAATAAATAAAACAATATTTATATCATTCGTAGACTTGTAACATTTTAATTAATTTATAGAATGATGATTTTATTTTTCTCTTTTGTTGTGAAACATGTAAGTCCAGAGAAAATAGACAGGCAATGTTCTTGCATTTGCATTGTTTATTTTTATTGTCTTAATATTAATAGCATAGCTCACAAGAAAATACAGAAGATATGCAGAGAACAAAACGCATAGTTTAAATAACGAATTTGTCACTTAATTTATGCATTTTTATGATTTATAATAGTTTAAATAATAAAATAATTTAATAGAAAAAAAGGTAACAAAATCATTTCACTTATTTTATGTACATTTGTCTTATGCTGACATCTCAATTTTGGGATATGAGCAGAAGTTACTACCGCTGTACCCATAACAACTGTAGGGTGAAGAAAAGAGTTGAACGACTCTCCGAAGATTGTCGTATGGTGATAACTACCTATGAAGGCAGACACAACCATTCCCCTTGTGATGACCCAAATTCATCTGAACATGAATGTTTTACTTCTTTTTGAACAATGTCGTTTCACTAATTAATATGTATTAATAATTAGTTGTGACAATTTTTCATCGGATATTACCGTGCACTCATTTAATTTGTATCATGTTTATATAAAAAGGCCCTTTACGTATATATTTATTTATCTATTAATATAACATATTTCTTCAATCCCCACAATATATATGCAAAAATTTAAGGTTCGTAGAAAAAACATTTTATTATAATCCCAAATGTATCTAATCTTTTCAAACATGGATTATGAGTTTTTTTTTTTTTTTTTTTTACTTGTAGCAGTAATTGTAAATTTGAGAAAATATTTTATACTCTATTCAGATTAACAGTTATAATATAATTTTTTTAATATCTTAAAGATAGAGAATATTAATGTCCATTTTAATTAAATTATTAAATTTATTATTTATTTATTTAGAATTAATAGTCAAAATTATTACACGTGTAATAGAGGTGTAAACCTTCTCAATTACAAAGTTAAAGTAGATTTTACCATTTTTTTTTTCTATTTCAAGACGAGTTAGTGGATTTTATAACGAAGCATGCATTAATATTTAATCAGTGTGTACATTATATGCTGGTTTGAATATTAAGATTCGAAATGTGACATGATAAAAATACAGACTATACTGAATGAACCCTTGAAGAATCTTTGATCACTAACAATGAGCTAATTAAAACAATAATAAGTATATATCTTAAATGGTTAAACGGTTGATTTATATATTAAATTGCCGAGTGCATTGAGCTGTTAAAAGAGTAAATGGGTGCTTTATTACTGTAAATTTGGTAGTAAAATAAAAATTTAACAATAAAATAATTAATACGTTTAAAAATAAATTTATATTTTTATAATTAAAGCAAAAAAACTTCTTATTAAACTTCTTATTACCGAAAAGTTGAGTTATGTCGCCAAAACATGCAGACTCCAAAGTACAGATCCAGTTTTGAGGATATTTTAGAGGTGCGATCGTCTAGGGCCCAAGCTTAAAAGAGGGCTCAAAGTAAAAATTGTGTCTTACTTTCACTTGGAAAAAAATTTCAGCTCTTATAATTTGTAGTTAAAAAAAATATAAAAAATAAAAAAACCTTTTAATTCCTCGCATTTCACTTACTATAAACGTTCGACTCATTGACTTCTGTAAACTCAAAACTTTATTTAATTTCAAAATTTTAATATTCTTAACATTAAAGCTCATTGAGAATTTTAGTTTTCTTCAAAAAATTAAATAATTATTAAGTTTGTCAAATCTGCAGATTGTTATCTAAATGTTTTAATCACTTATAGAATTTATTTTATGGTCCCAGTGATTATATCATCAACTGAAAGAAGTTTTTTAGAGTTAAAGTTAATTAAAACCTACCTAAAGTCATCAATGTCACAAGAACTGTTGAATGGTCTTACAATTTTTTCAATCGATAAAGAATTTTTAAAAAATATTAATGTTAATGTTATCATTAATAATTTTGCATCTCAAAATACTTGTAGAACCCATTTTTTTATGATTTTTTGTATTTTTGTAGTTAATTATAACATAAAAATTGTTTGAATGAAAAATATTTTTTTATAATTTTATTAAAAAAAAATTATAGCCCCTTAAAAAATGTATTATTTTAATAATATTATTAATATATACTTTTATTTTATTTATTACATTTTATAATTTTTTTAAGGGGTCATAATTTCCTATTTTACCTAAGTTCTCAAAAAGTTCAATAACGGGCCCTCCCAAAGTATATGCCATGCCCAAACATCATCGGTTCATCTACTTAACGTCTCCTTCTTATACAGTGAAATATGAATAAATTTATTCAATTGAAATCAAGTGAAGGATAAAAGAAGCACAAAATCCAACTTCTACAGGGAAAATTTGACGGTGGATAATGTTACTATTTAAAAAGTTATGTTTAATTATAAAAAAAAATAAAAATGTCTCTCTGTCTCAATAACATTCTTTAAAGAATACTCTTATCTTTAGTAACATCCTTTGAAGAATGTCTTGGCTCTGAATGATGCTTCAGCGGATTTGGAGATTGTTCAGTAACATCAATAATATGCTTTGCAGGGTTTGGAGAATCATCATTATAACATCATCAATATTCTTTGCAGGGCTTGGAGAATCATCATTATTAGCATCATCAGCATGCTTCGTAGAGTCTAATTCATTTGCTTCAAAAGTTTAGATGCTTCGTTTTTCTTTCTACATAGTAACAGTGATATATATTTTCTAAGATTTAACAAAATTGGTGTAAACCCTTTTGGCAATTTGGCTCAGTGGGCTTCAAATCTAAATTCTTTTCGTCCATCAAAATCCTCTCTTATTCTGTATTATCCAATTTCAAATTTTCATATATATTGACAATATTAAATATTATAAAACAAAATACAGAACGATATAGAAAAATAAAACAATAGAGAAATAACCGTGAAGGAAAAATATATAATTGTAAGAATTCTATTTTAAAGGAGTAAAATACCAATTAAAGCGTGTTTGGATCAAAACCTATCTAAAAAGGGCAAGTAATTAAGCTTGTGATATCAAATATTTCAAGAATTTAAGTGTGCAACCAAAAGCTATGAATAAAATCTTATGCAATAGAAAAGAAGGGTAAAAAATAATATTACTTAGAAATATTGAACTTGATTTTTTTATCCAACTATCCGCAACTTATAACACATCGTTTGGGCATTTTGCTAGAGATTTTTAAAACTCGTGATCAATCTCAATTAATTTTAATTATCTAAATTATTATAATTAAATTATAAATCTTTCATTTATTTTAACCCAAATCACCATTACTAATGTGACTAATGCATGCTTGATGATTAATTTATATGTTTTTAAATTGTCCAGAATTAAATTATAAAAATTTCATTTATTTCAATTCAACCATCATCAATAAGACATTCATACGTGATAATTAATTGAATATCTTCATTGTTTGAATATTATCAAGAGAGATACTAAACAAGTTAAATTATTAAATTAAAGGTTATAAATATGTATATGATATAAAAATAAAACAAGATTTGATAAGGAAAAATCAAAACAATCGACTATAAGTAGACCTTATTTTATTAAATTATTATGTTTTTCTTTTAACAGCAAAACCTTTTATACGAGTACTTTTTCCACCAAAATATACTACGGAAAGAAACTTCTTTTGGTACAAAGAAGTCTAATAAACTTTAAATTAAATGAATTAATTTTTTTCACATAACACGATTGATATAAATTTTAGCTATTCATTTAATAATTTTTTAGATGTTGAATTTTAAAAATAAAAGAAATATCAAAGGAAACATTAAAAGTTTAGGTTAATTAGCCATCATTTAATTTTAAAAATATTAAAAAATAAATTAATTATGTTACTAATTTTATTTTTATAAAAATTGATAAATACATAGATCAACTCATATAATTAAGGAAATATATAATTATTTGTCGCTAGACAGTTCTATGCCACAAACTGAAATAGTGATTGACCCAAATTCATCCTATATAGTTTAGAGTTTGTTTAGTCAAGTATCTGAATTGAGTTTATACACTTTAAAATAAAAAGTTCCTGTTACAACTAGAGTTTTTTTTAAAGAAGAATTAAATTTGTGAATATTTTTATTTTTATTATTCATTATTTTTAATTAATAAAAAATAATTAATTTACATTTAATATTTGACTTTTTGAGTTATTATTTACGTAAACAATACGTTAGTAAAAATTAAATTATATTTCTAGAAATTTAATTATTGACCAGACTTCATAATATTGTGCGATTCATGTTTCATTTAGTAAAGTAGGATTGAGTTGTTGATAAATTTATGCAATTGATTTAAAATAATAACATTAGAAAAGATGTATTTGGACTGCTATGACATTAAATTTTCACTTTTTTTACTTTTTATGCATAAATAGACTCTCAATATGATATGATTTTGGTAGATTATTTTCCTTTTAATTAATTTTTTATTTTAATAAAATTGGTGCTGATTCTCCTTTTTAAAAATATTTTTAAATTCTCTTACCTTCTGTTACGATCTTTTCATCCAACATAAAAATAGATTATTGTTCATGTAGCTTTATGTCACGCTGTATTGCTGTTCATAAATTAATTATTAATTTGAAATACTAAATTAATTATTCACCAATTATGTAAAATACTATAAAGTATGAAAAGAAATATTAAATTGTCAACCTGCAGTAATCAGTCACTTTTTTTTTTCGTGTACGGTTCAAAATTTATTATCCATTTACACATTAAAAGTCACATAATTATTAAATAAAATTTAAAATTTAAATAATTTGGATGTTCAAACATTAATAATAATAATAATTGATATTATTACTATTATTGGTTCATTCAAAATTAAGTGTAAGCATACTCCATAACCTTTATTCATCAACAAAAAGGAAAAAGAAACTTAAAAAGAGATATTTATGAATTAAAAAAAGTCAGATCGTAACTAGTCACATCATAAAATATATCACTTTGCCAAAATAACTTAATTGATTTTATAAAATTAAAAGCTAAGTACAAAGAAAACAAGATTTATAAATAAAGGTAAAAGTTCTAAAGGTAATATTATTATTATTCTTAAAATTATCGTAAATAAATAACTCATAATTATTTTGCATTATTATATAAGGAGATTCCAATTATTGCACTCACACTCACATAATTGAACAACCATTTGCATTATCCTCATCAAAAAATTGAGATATCTTCACTAAGGGATCGTCTTCATTTGTTCCTTCAGGGTATCTTGAATAACTCGGAGGACAAGAATAACAATATTCTGTCTGAACATAAACATCATTTGAAGAATGTTCTGTTTCAGAAACATTTGTAGAAGAATTCCCAGGCTCAATAACATCATTTGAAGAATGACTTGCCTCTGGAATATGCTTTCGAGAGTTTACAGAATCATCATTAACAACATTAATATCCTTTGGAGGCTCTAATTCATTTGTATTAAGAGGTTTAGATGTCTTGTTTTTATC